TATTGCTTATGCACAATGTATAAAGTGTACGTAGGAGAATGTACGAATAGCAATCAGTCTGGTAGTCAAGGTTGCATAACAAGCGTGATTACAGTAATACGCAGCAGCACAATTGTGTAAGTAATGGTGACGTTGAAGAAGGTGACGGTGGTTATTTCATTTGAAAGACTGTATTGTGGGTTAGCGTAGGTGATGCAAAAGTCAATTGAACGCAGGCGAACCAACTGAGAATGTAGCAATACACATGTATGTGCTTATTTTATTTTATTTTCTTTTTTTCTATTTAATTTAATTTGTTTTTCTTTTATTTGATTATACTTAATTTCCTCTTAATATATTTTATTTTAATTTATTTATATTTAATTTTTATTTTAATTTGTGTTTTTTTAATCATTCTTCTCTTGTTAATAATTTATTTTTTTACATTATATTTTATATTTTTTTCATTATTATATTTTAATTTGATTTAATACAATTTTATTTATTCTAATAATATAATTATTTTTTTTAATTTCACTTTATTTTCTTCTATTTTACCTTTTTTCAATGTAATATATTTATATTTAATTTTTTATTTAAACTCATGTTATTTTACTTAATGTTATTTTAATCTTTCTTTTTTTATTATTATTTAATTTTTATTTTAAATCACTTTATACTATTTTTTTATAATCTTCTATTTTAATCTATGTTATTTTACTTTATTTTGTTTAAATTAATTCTACTTTATGTTATTCTATTTAGTTTAATTTTTTGTTTTATTATTTAATTTCACTTTATTTTATTTTTTATTTTTTTTTATTTCATTTTAATTTATTTTTTTTATTTTATATCATTTTATATTATTATTTTAAATTATTTTCCCTTATTTTGTTTTAATTATCTTTATTTTATTTAGGTTTGTTATTTTATTTTATTTTAATTTAATATATTTTGATTATTTAAAATTTTTTGTTCTTTCTTTCAATTAATTTATTTGATTTATTTTGCTATAAATTTTTTTTTAATTCTTTTGTTTCTATTAATTAAATTAATTTCTTATTTATGTTATTTTTTTCAATATTATTTAATTTAATTTTTTTTATAAAAAGCTATATATAAGTACATATACATATAGTTTTTTTAATTTTCCTACTTAAATTTTGGTTTCTTCTGTTGTTATTATCATCCATAGCCTTCTCTATAACTGGAGAGAATTGTAAATACTGTGCTTCCGAGCAAATTATTCTTTGCTAATTGAGTGTACTTTTTGTCAAAAATTGTTTTAGAAACTTTCAAATATCTGTAAACATCTCAGTAAACTTCGAGTTTGGAAATAAAGCACATGCCTTTTCCCATATAGAACACCAGAAAGAAGTTATACCGAATCATCTTAACCAACAAAAACCCACATAATAAAAAAAGAAAAAAAATAATCGAAAACAAAAAATAGAAATATGTTTGCCAATGACAGGCGTGTCACGGTGAAATGTGAACGCTGAGTGCTTGTTGAAAGCGTAAACGGAAGGAAAGAGCAGCTATAAAAGCATAAAAAAAATGCACAAAAAAGGCGAATAGAGCTTTTTTTGGGCGCCACTTGAATGACGAGTATGCGTAGGCAAAAGGGAAAACTGACGTCAATGACTGTGAGTATTATCAAAAGACCCAGTGGCATATGAGTGACGTTGGTATTTATTCGTGTTTCATTTTACGTTTGCTTTTGCTTCCCTGCTCCTGACAAATATTGAAAAAGTGGGTAGACAAAACAAAGATGAAGCAACAGATAAATGGGCAGTTGGGTAATTAAAAGCGCACAGGAGAGACCCATGCAAATGTAATGCTGTGCGCATTGCGTCTAATCCGGTGGAAGTTTTGGGCCTAGGTGCGCTTGAATTCATATATAAATAAAAAAAATTAATTAAAATATAAGAAAGTAAAGCAAAGAAAAAAGACAAATTAAATTATATTAAATGAACTTAAACTGAAATTCAATAAATAAACCATAAAATACTATAAAAAATTAAATTAAATTTAAAATAATATGCAAAATGCAATAGTAACATAAACAAAGAAATTAAAGCAAAAAAAAAAATAAATCAAAAGTGTAGTAAGCCAATTTAAAGCCTGAGAAAAATAAAACTTAGAAATAAAATAAAATTAAAGTAAATAAAATAAAATAAAATAAAATAAAATAAAATAAAATACAGTAAAATTAAAAAAAAATAAAATTAAATTAAATTAAATGATATAAATCAAATAAAATAGAAAAAATAAATTAAGGCGTTTAATTGAAAAAAAAAATAAAACAAATGAATTAAAATAAAATAAAATATGATAGTGTAAAATAAAATGAAATAAAATAAAACAAATAAGATTAAAATAATTTGAAAAATTTAAATTTAAAAATTTTAATTTAAATTTAAAATATAAAGTATAATAAAATAAATGGAATAAAATAAACAAATTGTAGAGGGGGCAATTATAAATATAAATTAAAAGAAAATAAAATGAAGTTAATTTAAATTAAATATATAAAAAAGTATATATGTAACAAATAGTAGGTAATAAATAAAAAGTAATTAAAAGAGAGTAATATAAAATTGGAATTTAAACAATATAAAAATATATCTTTTATTAGAAAAAGACAAATAAAGAAGCAAATGAAGTAAAATTATATATAATTCAACGAAATTAAATTTAACAAAATAATATAATTTAATTTAAAAGTAATAAATGCAGGTTCCATAAGACGACAGTTATTACCGTTCAAGGCCTCCGGACCAATGAACCTAACCTTAGTGGTGCCCAAAAAGAATGTCTCGAATATGAACAGTGGTTGCAATAAATTGTGATTTAAACGTTCCTGAAGGCTTTGCAAGGTCATAAAAAGATGAATCTATGACCTACGTTTGTTAATAAATTTCTACTCAATATCACATATATGTGAACACCACCTCAAAGAAAGTTACATTTAAGCCCCAACAAAACATCACAAAGCAAAACCATTATAATATAAAGCTCATTTCATTTCCCCCTCTACCGCTTTCCATCAAAGACGATCCCAAATTGCTCAATAACAGTGAAAATAAACACCAGTCACGCTGCGATCACACACAATAGCAACGGCTTGACGCCAAAGTACTGTCAAGTTCTGGCAACAGAGTCTTCGAATGGCATAAAGGAGGCTTTTAGCAACCGTGACGCACACTATTAAGGCTGATAGGATTAACAATGCGTAGCCATGTATATACAATTATACGCCTTTGAGTAGAAACACACACTCACACACACACACACATGCTTACCCTACAGACACGCAACTACATTTATGGCCATACAACCGATAGACCTGCCTTATCTACAATGAACACTCGCTGAAGCGTTGCAGCCACAAGAGTCGTCAACTCTGTTGTATCGTTTGGCGTTTACTGTTTGTTGTTGTTTATTTCGGATGCCTTTAGATTTGAAGGACTTCCGAAAATACTCGCAGCAACACTCACACGTGTAAACACAAGTGAATGAAAGCGCCAAAAAACAGAAAGCAATAATATCAACAATATAACGGAACCACTAAGAATGAGTGTGTGCATTCACATATGTGAATACGTGCATATGTATGTTATATGTGTATGTATGCCATCAATGTTTTTTGCCTTATTTCCGCTGAATGTTGGCTTTCACTTTGTAATCGTATATGGCATGGGGGAGGAGTGAGTGTGTGTGTGTGTGCCGACCGCTGAAAGCTGCGAAACGAAAGCCTTAAGCTCGGTTGACTCACTGAATATGGCACTGGCGCTGGCGACGGCTTTTCCATGTTCGTTCGCTTTGCACCTTTGACGCTTTCACACGAAAGTATGCGTGGGATTACATGTCGCGTCGTCGCCTATTCTGCTTTGTGGTTTACACGCGAGTCTAAACTTTTTAATAGCATAGAGTGCTGAGCATAGAAAATTGCAAGGACTCGTTAGACAACAAGCCCTTTTTGGCCTTTACTTAAGCCAAATTGATGGGGGATTGTGTTTCTTGTTTATTATTGTTGTATTTTCTTATGGTTTAGAAATGACTTTCGCTAAAGCAATATCAAAAGAAAAATTCAGTTTAAGCTTATATTTTTAATTTCCCCATTCTTTTCGCTCTATTGTACTTTTAACTCTTTATCGCTGGCCGGCACGTCTAAATAATAATTTTGTTTTTTTGGCTAAGACTTTGCAGCCTTTTCTCTTTTAAATTCTACATTCTTCGCTTTAAATTAATTGTCTTCTCAATGTTGGCAATTTTTTCATTTATTTTCATTTTAAAGCTCAAGGGTAATTAAACCGAAATTAAAATTTAATTTAGTAATTAAAATTTTAATTAAAGTTAATTTAAATTTTAATATTAAATTCAAATTAAAGTTCAAATTGCAATTAAAATTCAAATTAAAAGTTAAAGTGAAATTTGCGTTGCGTTTGAAATCAGTCAAAGCTTTTAAATTCAAATTTTTACTACAGTCATCCATTTCGGCTGCCGGTTCTCATATACCTAGGATAGATATATTAACTTTCACGAACTGAGGTTTTGAAGAGGAAATGCTTAGAGGTAGAATGCAGCATAAAGCAGACACTTGTAAGAGAGTCCTCTATCGGAAGCTTTGAGTAAACGGAAAGCTTAAGTTTTTATTCAGAAATGGAAAGCTTCAAAGTAGTTGACAGCTTCTTCAACAATGACTGTTCTCTTTAGGGAAAAGAAAATGGGTGGACAGAAGATAAAAGTTGGTTAAAACGCTGATGTAACGACTACTTTTAATATATTTCCTTTGTAAAAAAAAATGTTCTAAGCATGAGAGAAGTATTTTCCTCCTTTGTGTGGCAACTGTGATTTTTCTCATGCATGATCATTCTAAAACTTAAATATATCTAACAAAATGGCACTTCTCGCACTTAATTGAACTCTTAAAATTGATGACTTAACGTTTTCTCATTTATAAAGAAAGCTTTCGAATATATAAAGCTCATAACATATTTTTCATTTATTATTTACAGGTTGCCAATTCGTGCGAACGCTTTGCCTTCAGGGTAGTGAAGTCTGTTTTGATGGTGAGTAAAAATAAAATTCGATTTTAAAATTTATAAAAGTTCTAGTTGGTATAGCAATAAAAAATATGATTCTCTACCACGAGGCACGGATGCCTATTATTTTTGGACCCTTTGTTCGACTTATACTCATCCCACCTATTGAACTCCAACAGATCCATTCTTTGGTTTAAATTCACTACTCGCAGCGACCAAAAAGTCACATAGAGCACTGAGCATCAAAGCAGTTTTCAACGGAAGAAAAAACCAAACTGCAGACTCTCCAAATAAAACTAGTTTTCTCTAAGCAATAGTCACCTCAAGAGAGAGCGCGTCTCAGCAATTCTTTATAGGCTTACCAAGAGCACATTCAACCACTATAAATATGATTCAAATGAGATGAGCCCCAGGACGAAATAGATCTAAAAACTTCATTCACTAAAAAATTAAAGAATTGAGTTGCGTTGAGCTTTTAATCTAATGGTGCAGCTTTTCCATTCACTTACGGACTTAACTATGAAAAAAAAGAACAAAAACTTTTACGGTGCACCATTTATTATTGAAAATTTGTCCGAAAAATGGCTGACCCGATCCTTGTACTTTCTGAAGGCCATGGCCTTTCGGTGAAAATTACTTCAGTGATATATGAGAACATGGACCAAGATTTTGACGAAACTCATATTACTAACTTTCCACCCTGACTATAGAGCGCGGCAACGAAGGGACCAGTAATACCCAGCCAATATGTAAACCAACGAAAGCTGCAGTACTGCCCTCACCTGTGTTAAGTTTCAGTCGATATGGAAGACATGTCTCCCACAATCTCTCCACTCTCGGGGTGCGAGCACGCTGGTAGAAAAATAATTGTTCGCAAACACATAGTTTGTCCAGTGCTATCAAGCGTGGAGTTCAACCAACCAACCCATATGGCGATACATTTTTAGGTTTCATACTTCTGTAAGGAAACTGGGCCAGAGGATTCCTTAGATAATAACTTCCCAAGAATCTTGGACTTGACGCACTCTAAAGTTTCAAAACTCTTAGATTAACAGCAGAGCGCTCATTCAAGCTAATTTTTGGAAGCTTGCGTTTCCTTTAAAGGTGGGGTAGGGTTTCGAGGGCAGAAAAAAACAGGTTTTTACAGATTTTTTTTGGGCGTCCTTTTTTTAATTTTTGAACTTTTTACAAGACTTGAAAGTGAAAATACCGATTTTTGGCCAAAATTCATGACTATTGTTGCTAATAATAAAAAAATTAAAATCAAAAACGAAATTATCTCGACAGGGTTACCTCATAAATTATGTAAGGAAATACTGTAAAAAATTTGAGAACGATCGGTTGAATAGATTTTGAGATACAGAGTGCACCGACTCAAAAAACATCGATTTGAGAAAAACGCGTTTATTCGCTCAATTTTCAATATTTTTCAACCAATATTTCACAGAATATAGTTCAATTACAACTCTTTAATGTACCATAATCAGAAATAAATTTACTTCCACCGTACGCCCAAAAAAAAATCTGTAGAAACCTGTTTTTTTTTGCCTTCAAAACCCTACCCCCCCTTAAAGTCAATTCACTAATTATGGCCCTCGCAGAAATCTTTTCATATCTCCAAGAACCAAAGTCATACAGAAGTGATGGAGTTCGACATTATCTTAAGACACTTATTCCATAAGACAAAGGGTTCGTATAAAGTTTCCATAGCAAACCTCTGAGTTTGTTAGTTTCATAAATTTCGAGCGCCTAGGTGTCTTCCTTCCATATGTTTCTTGATTCAATACTATTTATTTATTTATTATCAATTCCATATTTCTTTCTCTCCCAGATAACATCTTTGGAAAATGCATTCCAACCACTGGCGTGGATGTGGAGGATATAGAAAAGTAAGTAAAATCTTTCAAATCATCTTCAATTTCAATATTCTTAATTCCTTTATACATCATTTAACATAGAACACCTCTCACCGAGGACCAATCCCGCACCCTCGCCACAATGTTGGAGGAATTACAGGGCGCCGGACTTGGCTGGGATCATCCCTATGTACAATGTCGCATACAAGGCACCCTCTACTCGTTGCAAAAGCAGACCCAACTACCACCGAACCTTTGCGCAAATCTGGCACCTACACCAACCGATATTGACCCTGCTGGCGCTATGGCTTTCGTACGTTTCACACCACCGGAACCACAATACTATGATGAAGGCTTATTCTATCCACCGCTGAAAAAACAACAGAGGCCACAGCAATCAATGCAAGAGTTGGAAGATGGCAACAGTCTCAACACCATCTTGCACGAGTTGCAAGTGCAGGACCAACGACAACAACGCCATGATCCACTCGAGTTGGAACACTTCGGTAAATTGGACGCGCAGGAGCAAGCACAAGTCGCACCGAATGTTATGGAAGCTTATCTGGCGAACGAGCTTGCGCGCATACAACGTGAACAAATGGAACAGGCGGCTGAACAGGAGGAAGCACAGGCGAATGCAATGCGTAATCGTTTGGAACTCTATCAGATGTTGGCCGCCTCCGAGCCGGATCCACAACCTTACCAACGCAACCCGAGTAGTGCCATTGAGAAATTAGAGCAGGTCATGGAGCGAGAACGCGAGGCAGCTGCGGCACGTGCTCAACCGGTGCAACAACCACACCCCGTTATTGTGCCGGATGAACTGTCGAATGACTCCAACGAGCTGTACTTCCCGGAGCATTATGCCTCGTTCAAGCGCACTTCGAAAAAGATGAAGAAAAAGTTAGAAAACGCTAAAGACAAACCCGCGCAGCGTTCATTTTTCCGCGAACTAGCAGCCGAGCAAGGATTAGACCAGGAACCACTGTTGAGACACGAACTGAATGACAATACCATCGATGAAACAGATCAAATGTTGCTGTTGCCAGCTTACAAACGCACCACCGCAGATGATGATGACGTCAACAACTCCGAACGCAAGCAATTGGCCTTCGAGGAAAGTCTCATACGTAACTCTTTGACCCCATTCGAAGAAGAAGCAATGCTTTCATCGAATACCTATGCACATAACGGACAAAAGCCTCGACCAGTCTTTACCGAAGGTGGTCTAGTCTATGTACCTGAGGATGAAGAGGAAGTACGCAAGGCTAAAGTGCGTGAAATCTTCGCCAGCATGTTTGGTTTTACACGCCATGAGCGTTTGGATGTTAAGAAACCGGGACCACTTATCGGACCACCACCAAACGCCGCCGAACAGGCAAATAAGCTGAATAAAACTGAGGATAGCAGTGCGGGAAATAAGGAGTTATTACCGGCTCACATCAACGGCAGTCAGGAGGGCAATAAGAAGAAGAAAGTACTGAAGGACCATTCCGATGAAGATCATGCTACGCACACGGTCGACACTGAATATGCGCATGTGTTCGTCAAGAACCCGTAAGTGGGCAAGGGTGTGGAGAGTCGCTCCAGGACTTAATTTTCTCTTTTGATCTTTTTAGTATCGACAGTTGGAATGACGGTGTGCGCATCATGAACGAATTGGCAAACATACTACATATGCAAGGATACTTTACCTATTTAACGTGAGTACCCAACTTTGCAGGTGCGCAGAGTCATCTTTTTAGTGTGTGGGTCAAGTTGGTAACTTTTCCAGAAAGTGCTTTAATGCGCCCGAAGGGCTCAGGAAAGCTGGGTACTTAGCGGACTCCAGAATTGAAACCCCCTTATACCAAGATTAATTTTCAATTATTTTACTATACTTAATATGGTTGGGGATCCAAATAAAATAGATCGAGGAAAAGACTTCCGTTAAGAGCTTTTCATTCACTCAGCTGATTTGCTTAAGATAAGAGTGATTACTAACACATTCGTTTACTTCTCGCTTCCTAAGTGCACATTCAGCAATTGTAGCCTGGTTAATGATGTTTCCTCAAATAGCAAAGACGATCTAACCTAACTAATTTTTTTTACCTCCACATAGCGTTCAACCGCACGAAGTCTCTTTCCGGGTGGACTCAAACAATCCCGAACATAAAACCGCCGCCGATGTAGCACGAGCTATCAACGCCAATCGCGGCGTGAAGAATAACATACTCCGTCGACTGGGCTTCACAGTGGTGCATGCTGGAATAGGCGATAAAATCAAAGATAATACGGGTGTAGCAGCAGCACGTATTGAACTCGCCGAACAAGGACCCGATGTAACACATATTATGGCTTACATGTTTGCCGGCGCCGGCGCTGCTGCAGTCATCGTTATTTTCATTACACTAATTTTGATTAAGCGACACGATAAGAAACGCGATAAGCTCGGTGGTCTGCAATCGGGTATAGGTGGTGCGGAGAGTTGCAGCAAAGACTATCAAGATCTATGTAGGGCACGCATGGCAGGCAAGGGTAGTGCGCCAGAACCGGTCGCCAGCGGTCGTATCACCTCGTTGAGCAAAGAAAATGATCGACCACCATCATCACGCTCGAGTACCTCATCGTGGAGCGAGGAACCTGCTTTGACGAATATGGATATCTCTACTGGACATATGGTTTTGGTGAGTAGTTTGTATGTAATTTCCTAAGCGGAAAGGTCTCTTTATTAAAGTTTCTCTCTCTCTCTCCGTCTTTAACTTCCTTACTCTATAGTCTTATATGGAGGACCATTTGCGCAACAAGGGTCGTCTGCAGCGTGAATGGGAGGCATTGTGCCGCTACGAGGCCGAACCGAGTGCACGTGATGCTGCTCAACAACCGCAATGCGCTAATTTGAATCGACAAGGCGCTCCTTTACCCTATGATCACTCGCGTGTCGTGCTCAATCATTTGGCCAACGCTGAGGGATTGGATTACATCAACGCATCGACAATTGTGAGTTTCAATGGCTGGAGTACGAATTATTTGATATATAAAATTACACACTTACTCTCTTTGTCATTCTATAACTCACCAAACTTATTCTTACAGACCGACCACGATCCTCGCGCACCAGCTTATGTCGCGGCTCAAGGACCCCTACCAACGACTCTGGCACACTTCTGGCAAATGATTTGGGAACAGGGTGCTGTGGTTATTGTCTCACTCTGTCGTCTACAAGAAAATGGCGAAATTGCTTGTGCGCGCTATTGGCCAGAAGAAGGCGCTGAGGTTTATCACATCTATGAGGTGAGTTATCGAGGAGAGTTAAGCGAAAGAGGAGTCCTTATATGCATATACCTTTACTTTTTTCAGGTTCACCTCGTCAGTGAACACATTTGGTGTGATGATTATCTTGTACGCTCTTTCTATTTGAAAAATTTGCGCACGAGCGAGACGCGTACAGTGACACAATTCCATTTCCTCTCTTGGCCGCAGGGTGGCGTACCGGCACAAGCTAAAGCTTTGTTGGACTTCCGAAGGTAAGATACTAGCAGATAAGGAAGGAGATAAAGATGAAGATAACGTACTTAATGACTTACACTTCAATTAAGCTAATATTTCAAGCTACAAATAAACAATTATTAACATGCTTTTTTCCTTTACAGAAAAGTAAACAAGTCATATCGTGGCCGATCCTGCCCCATTGTGGTGCATGGCAGTGCCGGCGCTGGCCGTACCGGCGCCTACATACTACTCGACCTTGTACTCGGCCGAATGAACAAGGGTGCACGTGAAATCGACATCGCCGCCACATTGGAACATCTACGCGATCAACGCGCCGGCCTTGTAGCCACGCGACAACAATTCGAGTTCGTTCTAATGGCTGTAGCCGAAGAGGTGCATGCTATTCTAAAGGCACTACCGGCAAATCAATCGAACGAGAAGCGTGAGCTGGAAGCAAAGGACAGTACTACAGGCACTCTGAAGGAAGAGGAAGCAGGCGGCGAAGATGCGGTAGCGACAACATCCAAAACGGCAAAGGACAGCGGCGCCAAGGCGACAACGACATCGGCGGCCGCAAAAGAGAAGGAAAAAGAGCAGAAAAGTAGCAGCGGCGTTGGTGAGAAGGAGCGTGCTGAAAAGAGTAGCAAGGCGGAGACGAAAGAGTCAAAGGCAACTACAATAGCACCAGCGACGCCATCGAAGGGTGCAACAGCAGCAGCAGGAGCAGCGGCGTCAGTGAAGAAAAAGTAAATGCAGTAAAGCGGCGGGTTATTGTTGGTCGCGCGCATGTAGTGGGCGCGGAAGGGTGGTTATTTATGTAATTATTTGTTTTTAACAACATTTCAAATTTTTAATATTATTTTTCGTTTGTTTTTTTATTAATTTATTATTTTTAAATATTTTTTTGAGGCACGTGGCAATCTGGCGAGTTCGAAACAGGCTAAATTTGGTCGGCAAGAAGCAAGCAAATTATATTTTTCCTTTCACCTAACCATTTTTAAATACGAAAGTTTTAATTAATTAAAAATCCAAAAAAAAAAAAATAAAATGCTTCTGTAAATTGTGCATGAATAAAATTTTAATGCCCATTTAACGCTAACACCTATAATGGTTCTATGCCGCCAAGTATGCGTTCTATTTACTTTCCCAATAACGCGTTGCCGCTTCAATAAAAATCCAATTAAATCCAGCCCGTTGGAACGGTACGTCTTATGAAAGTAAATGACGCATGCGAGGCGGAGAAAATGGAACAGCAACAACACACACAGGCAAACATTTTAGATTTTAGGCAGCAAGAAAACCAAAAATCCAATTATTTATTAAATTTAAGAAAAGCTATATATTGTTAATCGATATGTAAAATTAACTATACATATATATATATATAAATATAAATATATATATATTATATGTTATATGTTATAAATGTTTATTTGAAGTGAAAAAGAATTAATTAATTAAAAAAATATGCAAAAAATATGTTATTATTATTATCGATGTGCATGGTAGGGTATTTGAAATAACCACGTATACATGTACAACAAAGACAAAACCACAAACAACAACATCTGAATTAAAACCACTGTGTGAAAAGAGTTATCAAATAAACAAAATTATTAAGTAAACCTATAGACGCTGAAAACGAAACGAAAGAGCAGGCAAGAGAAAAATTTATAAAAGCTTGAGCTTTCACCAAAAGAAAAACTAGCTTAAAAAAGGAGAGCTTAATTAGCTACAAAAGCACAAAACCAATACAGCTACCCTAAAGTCTACACCACCACCTAACACTTCTACCAACAAATGAATTAAGGCGGAAATGATTTCAAATCACTTTTTTTTTATAAATATGGGTGTATTTTCCTTTCTGAGATGTTCTAATTAAGAAACCATATATGTATGTATTTTAAATTCTTCACAGCAAATTTTATTGTGATGTGCGAAATATTTAAAAAAAAAATATATATATATACAAACATATTATCCATTTACATAAACTATATGTTTTCAATGTCTTACCATGAGCAAGAAAAAAGCTTAGCAAATACATACATACCTACATATGCCATACACATATAACTCATATATCAGTGTAATGTGTACCTTCGAAAAAAATAAAACAAAAAAAAAATATTTTTAAAAATCAATTCAAATATTTATGTGCAATGAAATAAATAAATATATTTACAACGTATTAACTATGTAAACGTATATGCAAACATATTTATATACAAACCACTTTCGTCAAGTACCAATTATTGTACATTTAAATACACGTGTAAAATATATATCTACATATATATATATTTACAAAGCTACAAATCTCTCTAAATACTATATATGTATGAATATGTATAATTGAAATTACCACATCAGATTCATTCCGTATTAAGAAAAAATAATAATTAAATTACTATAAAGCTTAATTTTACTGAAATTAATTGTTTGTGTATATATGTGTATATATAAATATATTTTACCTATATAAAAACTCTTAAAAATTGTTCGCTGTAATTGTAAACTTTCAAGCACATAATTGGGAAAGAAATAACGGCAAAGTTTCACAAAAGCGCAAAAAAGAAAAGCATAGACATATAAAAACTGTCAGCAGGTGAATGATTCATGTAGGTTGAAAAAGTATTTTGAAATATTCCAAATGTATACAGTTGTGTATTCTTAGTTATACATGAATGATTTGTAAAAAAAAAATATTTCATACAAAACAAAGTGCTTTCACTGCAAATTGAGAGCTTTTATAATGCATATGTGAGCTTTCATACAAAAGTGAAGAACATTCACTGCAAAATCTAAGGGAACTTCAATTCAGAAGTGTGGCAACTTGTAGAGCTTTTGGGACACAAGGGGAGCTTTCATATAAAAGTGAATAGATTTAATAGCAGTTATATGAGATCTTTTCTAAAAAAACGAGCTTTCATTTAAAAACGCTGAGCATTCAGAAACTTGTTTTAGAGATTTGATTGAAAAATTTGTACGAAATTTTTCTAAAATTGCGGGCATTGACTAAAAGCACTGAGTATTCACGCAAATATTATATGATTATATTTTACAAGCTTGCGTACAATTTCATCAGCGTTCATATATTCAAATACTTTCAAACGTTAAAGCAAAACTTTGCTTTTCAGAAATTTCCAGCGCTTTTCTGATGGCACAAAAACATTTTTTGAGCTTTCACTAAAATATCATGGTTACACTTAAATCGCTACGATTTTACCGTATCACTGCATAGCTACATATTTACTAAAATGGTTAAAACTTCTGAAGGAGAGTCAAGCATTTGCTGATATTTGTAAGCGTCGAATGAAATCTTTGCATACCTGTTTAAACCAATAAGCTTTCACCCACCAAAATAAGCTTTCATTTATGCATTTAAAGCTACACAGTCTTACAAACAAATTATTAAGCTTTCAGCAAAAATAATGAGCTTTCATCAAAAAATATATAGAGCTTTCACCAAACACATTGCGCTTTCACTAATCACAAATTAGCACTTTCATTATTAAACTACAAATTTCAAATATTTATATGCTACTTGTGTATATGACCACATACATCTATATTAATTTACACATATACATGTTTAGGTGCACATATAACATTTAAAACTTACACACAGCAAAAAGCTCAATAGCTTTATGGCACCCATGCACTCATTTCAAAATTTCACTATTTGCAAAATTTCAAAATAATACAATTTTACTTAACTTTTCTACGAGGGCAGCTAAAAATTGTAGGATTTTGCAAATTTGTTAATTTGAAATCGATAAAAAAGTAAAAGCAACAAAAGGCACGTGCTTTAATTAGTGGAAAACTGAAAGCACAAAAGACATAAAAGCTTTAGGACAGCTCTTATGCAGTTTGAAATTAACAAGAATTAATAAAATAAAAGCATGGACAACACTAAAACCACTTAAGAGCTTTTGATGGAAAAAAAAACAAAATATTAATAAATTCAAAATCAAAAAAATTGAATCTGCCTGTAAAGGGTTTTAATTGAAAAAGTTAATGGGCTATATACAGAATAAACTGACAAAAGGTGCTGAAAAAAATTTTGAAGAAAAGCTACCAGAAACTATGGTTACGGCATTCGAAGTTCAACAGGGTTGGCGGCATTTACGTTACCACTGATCAAAAATGAAGCACAGTTAATAGGCGAGTGATTAATCTCATATTCGAAAGCTTTTAGAAGTAAGATTTCGAATTTCCGCAAGCTTAGAAATACGCAAGTAAAAAGCGCACAAGTAAAAGGCGTACAAGTAAAAAGCGCACAAGTAAAAATCTTTAGTTCAAAAAAGAGAATATTGAAAAATGACAGAGAAGACACAAGTGTGGAGTAATGGAAGTAAAGCACAAAAAGCTTCAGAAAACAAAAGCTTAGGAAGCTTCAAAGCACAAAATTCTACAGCGTTTAAAAGCCATTGAAATATTCAAAACAATGAAGCATAAATAAATTGGAATGTAGATCGAATAATGAAAAGAGTGTTATAAAAATTTTTCTGAAAAGCTAAAACTATAAAGTCTTAAAACGCACATATTTTTTTTTTAAAACCACGAACAAACGTACACCGCCATAAATACAGCTACACAAATTAAGATTGTCAAGCAAAAAATTAAAATAATTTCATAATTATATTCAAAATGAATTTCGTTATATTGAGATACCTAAAAAGTTTTTTTGAAGAAGTTTTTAAATTTTTCCGAAAAAAGTAAAGCAGCTTAGAATAGTATGTTTCAGAAGAGGTGTTTTTCGCTCTACCATAAGCGGTAATTTTTTTTTTCAGAATAAGATCTTGGCTTTATTTCCAAGAGAGATTTGACTCTTTCCAGCTTAAGGTATTCTAAGAAACTTCAAAATTGTAGAACTCGAGGATTTAGTTTTAGAAACATTGACAACTTGACATTGGTTTTAAAAGGGTGTTTTTAAGCATATTTCTTTAAGAAAAAAACTTCAAAAACATTCTTATTCTAAGTTTTGCAAAAATACACATAGTTATGGTACAAACTACAAATACATCTCATACATAATACATAACCTTAAATAGCATGGGCGAAGAACTCTACTGACCCCGAACTCTTCAAATAATCCACATTCCAAACATGGTTACACAAAATATACAAATACGAAACTTTTAAAATGTGAAACAGGATAATAAAATAATAAAAGAGTGAAACTTCTCTAATAGGAGAGGTAGAAGAAACAAAGAAAAATATTTTGAATGGACATAAATTAAAAGTGATCTATAAAACGAGTAAATAGTACAAAACGTGTGGAAAATAATTCAATTGAAAAATATATCTCCAAATTCAGAAAATTCATTTCAAATTCAAAATTTAAGAAAAATTATAAGCTAATTAAACTAAATTCAAAATAGCATAAAATAAATTGAATGAACTTAAAATAAAATAACAAAAACTAACGACAACAAAAATTCAATTAAATTATGGTAAGCTAAATAAAATTAAATAAAGTATAATAAAATAAAAAACAACAAAAAAAGTTAAATTAAATTATAATATAATAAAATTAAAATAAAAAATAAAAAAATAAAAACTGATACTTAAACTCAAACTAAATAAAATAAAATAAAAAATAAAAAATGAAAAATAGAAAATAAAAAATAAAAAATAAAAACAATAATAAAATAAAATATTATAAAATAAAATATATAAATCAAAATAAAATAAAATAAAAAAATTCAAAATAAAATTAAATTGAGTCAAAATAAATGAAAAATTTTTTATAAGCTAAAATAAAAAAATATTAAATTAATTCAACTAAATAAAAAAATAAACAAAATTAATTAAATTAAATACCCCAAATTAAAATTAAATATAGTAAAATCAATAACGTCAAATATTTAATTACTTTTAAATTTCAATATTATAAATAAAATATTAAATATTTATAATATAAAATAATAATATTAAAATTGAAATAAAATAATATAGACATACAAAAAATAAAGTAAAATTAACTAAATTGAAGCAAAAGAGACTTCAATTAATAAAAAATTCAAAAGTGAAAAAAATTTAAATAAAAAATTCATAAAATCAACAAAATCATTATAAAAAGCCAAAAAAAAAGAATTAAATTCGCCGACCAAATACATACATATATTACAATAAGCATGCATTGTAAATATGCAGCATAATGTTGAAAACTGCACTTGACTACACAAAAAAAAAAACATTTTTAAATATTAATAAAAGTTGAAAAATTCTCACGTTCAAATGACATTTACATAATTATATATAAATGTTATGCATAAAAGCGAAAAAAAAACAAACAAAACGGCATTAATGAAAACATACATAATAAAGTAAAAATGGTAGTTTGCATTCTAGAAAAAATAGTAGCGTTTTCGAAAATTGTTATTTCAAACATTATTAGCACAAAACTTAGTAGAAATAATTATAAATATATCGACATACATACAGGTAAAAAAGTTCGTTAAATTTATGAAAAAATAAAAAACAAAAACAAAACAAGTTTGAAAACAGAATTTAAAAATCATTACTATATATACATATATACAATTGAAAACAAAAAATACATATATTATATACATATATATACTAGAGCACTTATGTACGGCTCTCCTAAGCTTAAGTATTAATTTACCTTTCACAACATGTATATATATGCATGAATATACTTTGACTTAAATTTCCATTTTATTTTCACAGTAAACTTTATATATATAAAAATTACACAAATACTTTTTATTTTCGCAAAAATGCAAACTGTATGCATGAAAAATCTTAAAACAATATTACAATAACTGTGGCGATCTCGCAACACCACCACCAACTGAGATCCCAAAAATACAACAAAAAACAAAAAGAAATAATAATTTAAAGAAAAAAAGCAAGCAAACAACATTACAACAAATGTGGTAGAAAATAATTGTAAGCGACTTAAAGATAAAAATATCTACAAATATATATATATATACATAACATGTTATAAAATATACAAAAGATAATTATTATGAAGCATTCAAAGTTTATAGAGACAAAAACCAATTAAATTAAATTAAATTAAAATAAAGAATTTTCAAAACTTTCAATGTCATTTCTTGAAGCGTTGAATTTTGAAAATAATAATAATAAAAATGATTAAAATGCAAACAAAAAAATAATTAGTAGTGAAACAAGCAGAATTTTTCAACTTAATAAAATAAAAATAAAAATAGTTACACAACGTACATATATACATTAACAAAGAAACGTGAATAAAAAATTTCATATATATGTATATAATCATAAAATGAAAAAAATACACACACACACACGTATGTAAACCAAAATGCATTCATATATACATATTATATATAAAATTAACTAAATTTCAAAAGTATACGTACTAAATATATACAAACATAACTTTCATCAATTCAATTGATTGTTGTTGCAGTTATAAATTAAAAAAAAAATAAAAAATAACAACGCTGTACAGACAGTCATAAGGCACAGGTGCAATATTAGTGAAAGGCCAAAGAAAACTTAAAGAAAAATATATGAAATTTGTTTTGAATTTTAGCAAATATAGTTAAAATTTATTAAAAAATAATAATTAAAGAATATTTACATACATACAAAAAAAAAAACAATTACAAAGATAACAAAACATTCAATGAAATGCGCATACAATAATACAAAAATTAATTATTTCATATTAATTTCCTGCAAGCATTTTCATGATGGTGTAAATTGGAAAAAAAGAAAAATATTATTAAATAATAATAAAAATTACACAAAAATCAGCAAATTATAACAAAACACGTGAAAGGAGCAACTTGTTGGTAGAGAAGAAAAGCCAGAAAAACTATTACTTCAAAACCTGATATGAAAACTTTAAGGTTTTTAAAAGCTTGTGAAAGCTCTGAAGAAGCTTCACAAGGCAGAATAACAGCAGATGCTTTGTGAAACGACATATACATATATACTCGTATATTCACCAAAAACCGGAGTGGCAAAAAAGGTGAAAAGGAAAACTGCAATTGAGCTGTGAGTAAAAGAGAAATTGTGGAGTAGAAGCACTCAACTTCAAAACTCTCATACGAAAAAAATCATTTCACGAGTTCTAAGCATTAATGTTTTTCTATCGGGAATCAAACCAAAACAGATTTTCAAAAATACTGAGCTTTTGAAACTTGCTAAATGACAAAACTTTCACAGTTGTTCACAGCTGTCCAAGGCCCCATACTCAAAAACTTTTGTCATTGAAAAATTTAAAAAAAAAATTAAAACAACAACATGTTTGTTAAATTTGAAGTTCAATCAATCTTAAAAATAAGAAAAAGCTTAACGAAAAGGTATATCCAAGCTTTGAATATTATTTGCGGAGCTTTATCATACTTGCACATGTTATTTGAAAGAGCACACCAAATTCATATGGGCTTCGGTAATAGATGTTGCTATTGAAAACCAAATGGAAGCGCGAATGAGTGATTTTAGTTAGAGAAAAGCGAGGAATGGGCAAATGTTTAGGAGAAATGGTAGCAGAGACCATAAAACAATAGTTAAAAATCTAGAAAACTACAACAAAAAACTCGAAAAAACTCAGCAAACCAATATGAAAGGACAGCACAAATAATTTATGAACTTCTACCTCGACTGGAAGGAGCGGAGAGGGGGCACAGTGAGTGAGCGAAAGAGAGAAAGAGAGAGAGGGTGATTAAGGTAAAGTTAGTAATAGACGAGATATGGTATTATATGTTCCTAAAAATACATTAAACAACCTAAAGACGAAACAGACGAAAGAACAGTACACACAAAACGACAGATTGCCGATGAAATCGAATGACAGAGTGAACACATACAGGACGCTAGAGGAAAGACAGACAGAACGTTCTAGTGACCTTCAAACAGACTCTTATCTAAACGATCTTAAAACTTAAAATTGACCTAACGATACAGTGCTGTGCGGTCGGGTGTTAAGACGGTTTTATAGTACAAAAAATATATATTTTTAAATGAAAATAAGAAATTAAAAAAAAAATAAATAGTTTTAAGCAAGTGAAAGCGATAAGCGGGTGGGTAAAAAAACGATACTGGAGCAAAGGGGGGAAATCTTAAAGGAAAAAGACAGGCAATTATTGGGTTTGGTGGAGGCAAGCGTAAGTAGCTGAAATATACTGCAAACAAAGAGTTGAGTTAGGGGGGAATAGCAATAAATATAACAAAAAGAAAAGAGAACACAACAAAAAACCCTTATATAGACAGTCAAAACACAGACAAACAAATAAAACTGGTTTCTATAAAGTTGATCTTATGAATGAGGCAAAAAGTTGATGGAAGAGCGAATACAATAGAAGTGAGAGGGGCAGTGTGAGATATATATAGGAAACTTGAGCTACTTATGGAGAGAACTTGCAATGAGAGCGTTCATATATTTACAGCTGGCTTTATTAACTTGTTGACAGTGAAAGCTAACTTGCTAAAAGCTTCATTGCTTACAATTATATGTCTGTATTTAGATTGCAAAAAAAAAATATATATATATATAATAAGAATTAAAAACTACTTTTAGGTGTATTTGAGCGTATAAAAAAATATAAAAAAAATTAAAAAATCTTAGATGTAAAATTCCTACAGATGATGTTTTACGGCAACAATAACAACAAAGTATATAACAACAAAATACTATTCTTCATATATTCGGTGTATAAAAATTAAAAGAAACCATATTTAGAAAATTATAAAAAATTATATAAACATATTATGTGTATATTTATAATGGTCAGGTAAATATTATTTCAATAAAAAATATTTAGTATATATACATATATAATTATTTATTAAGCTACAAAAAATGACGTTCAACAATTGTTAAATACTTACGTGTGTATGTAAAATTATGTATTATGTATTTAAAAAAATATAATAATTTTCAATTAAATTGTAGTAAATTTGTAGTATTGGTGTGTGTAGAAAGTGAAAATATATAATTTAAAAGAAAAATTATTTAAAGGAAAAATTGTTTTAAAATAAATTATCAAAGAAAGGAGTTTAGAGAAAAAGTGGCAACAATTGAGAGTTCAGTAAAGAATGAATGAAAAATTTGGTCAGGAAGAGGAGAAAAATGGCACGAAAAAATATAAGAGTAAAAATTAAAAAACTGTATAAATAAAAATTGCAACAAACGGCATAAAATGAATACATACAACAACACTTATAAAACATCAATTAAAAAAAAAAAATTT